AACAGAACTTACTTACTATAAAAAAAACCGGAGAATAAGAAATAAACAAATATAAATGAATAGAATAAAAGAGAAAAGAAATGAAAAAGGCAAAGAAAATGAAGGGAAAGAAAGGTCAGGAATGACGGACTATGTATAATTAAAATATGCGTAAAGAATCGGTAGAATATAAAGAGTGTTCTGGATCGCTGTCGCAGAAAGAATGAACGAGCTAGCGTGCCAGACCCAGGTTCGTTTGAGACAGTGGTGGGGAGATGAGTGGTAGGAAGAAACGTGACGCGCTGATTGGCTCACGCGCTAGCGCTAGTATGCGAACATCTCCTTATATGGTCATGGTGATGCTCGCTCAGTACATTGATGGGGGGACTGTGTGATAGAACATAGCGACGCGCAGAATCGCTCAAACAAAATAAAATCATTTTATTTTTTTATTTTTAAAGAACTATTTATTGTAATAAAACAAGTAAAATCGTTTTTTAGTAATGCATTAACAACATGTGATTGTTAGGCCACGTGACCGTCGCCATGTTAATTTTTTCGACTAGTTTTTTATATAAAAAAAAATTTATAAAGAGGTTTAAAATATATGCGGAAGAGTACAAAAGTAATAGTTAAAATACTACTTTTTGTATCGAAAACTTTAAATGCGTTTTTCTCAAAACGTATTTTTTGAGCTCCGTGCAATGCAGCTCAGTTAGTTTTTAATCGATTTTCATTAAAATTACTCGTAATCACCAACCTCGAAAACCCCAGATACCAAGATTCTTGAAAATTGATTCATTTTGCTTCCTCGTGGAGGAAGCTATGTAGTCCTTTCGTTTATAAACTTTTTAAAAATGGTGAAAACAAATTTTCCTCTATATAGAAACATGTTATATAAGATCCTGATCAATTGTCCGGATGTATGTATGTGTGTATGTATGTGTGTGTGTGTGTGTGTATGTGTGTGTGGATCGTTTTTGTGAACACGATATCTTTAACAGGTTTTAATGGATTTGGATAAAATTTGGTAGGCTTATTTAACACATTAATTTCTCAAAAATGACGAGAGGATTTTTAAAAATACCCCAAAAAAAAAATTTTATCGTCTTTTTTCCAAAAATTTTTTTTTAATTGAAAAAATTTTTAAATCGAAAAATTTAAGGTAATATATAATATAATCGTCTTCTTTATGTCAAGATGAATCGATTGATATATATAAAGTATAGATTTGATTGAAATTTAAAGAATTAAAGAAAGTTAAAAAATCAAAAATTCTCATTTTAGCTAAAAAATGATGTGTTTATTTAAATTCATGTTTATATATGAAATAATTTTATTCCCTGCATTGAAACGAATTGGTTGGTATATATAAAGTATAGATTTGATTGAAAATTTGAGAATTAATAAAAATTGAAAAATCGAAAATTCATATTTTAGCTAAAAAAATTTGTGTTTTTTTAAAATTCAAGTTGATGAATAAAATAATTGTATTCCTTGCATTAAAACGAATCGATTCGTATATATAAAGTTTATGTTACACTCAAAATCAATTAAAATTTTCTTTATTTTTCAAAAAATTTAATTAATTTAAAACATTTTTAACTCGAAATTTTTTAAATCAATCAATTGAATTGGACAAATTCATTGCTTCCTTCACGAGGAAGCGAATTTTTTGCTTCACACAATGAGGAAGCATAATGTTTATGAAATAAACATAAAGGACCCCCTCCTTGTTTAAAATATCATGTCCGCTATATTGAATCCGCCATTTTGAATTTTTAAAATCTGATGTCAGATTCTTATTCAGCGACTCCGAAAACCCCCGAGTAGCCAGTTTGAATCAAATTCGTCCATTTTCAATTTAAAAAAAAAATTTCCGCCATATTGGATCCGTCATTGTTAATTTTGAAAATCTGACGTCAGATTCGTAATCAGCGACCCTAAAAACCCCCAGATACCAAGATTCTTGAAAGTTGATTCTTTTTTAAAATGTCATGTCCGCCATATTGAATCCGCCATTTTAAATTTTTAAAATCTGATGTCAGATTCTTATTCAGCGACTCCGAAACCCCCCGAGTAACCAGTTTGAATCAAATTCGCCCATTTTTAATTTTTTTAAAGAAAATTTCCGCCATATTGGATCCGCCATTGTTAATTTTGAAAATCTGATGTCAAATTCGTATTTGGCGACCCAAAAAACCCCCGAGTAAAAATTTTCAAGTGTATTTGAACACTTTTTCCGATATTTTTTGTAAATTATCCGCCATATTGGATCCGCCATTTGCAATTTTAAAAGGTGCCACATTGCACTTGAAAGTAGACATAATAAGCTAAATTTTAAGCCTATGTAGACGTTTTTCTGATAAAACCATTTTTGGGCAGAGGGGGTCTCCCAGTGACATAGAATGCCCCATATATATATATATATATATATGTATATGAGAGATTCTTTTTCAATCGCCCCAGCCCAAAAAGTCAATGTTCTGGGATTGGCTTCATACTTTGGTAAATTGTTGTCCTATATGATAGTAATAAATCCCTAAAATATAAATTAATTAAAAAAATATTTGTAGAAAGTAGAGGGGGTTGAAGTTTTGACGTTAAGGGTAACATTGTCATTTTCAAATCCGTTTAACTATGACAAAAGTTAATGGATTTTAATTTATCTATAATGAATTTTATTGCATTTTTCACGTACTTTTCAAAAATGTATATGAAATTTAAAAAAAAAATTTTTAACCCCTTTTTTGTCAAAATCAACCCTTATTTTTCGATTTTCACCCCTTCGGGTATTTTTTTTTTTTTATTTTCATTGGAAAGCTGAGGTTTTTTCCGATGAGCTATGTAAATATGAAAATGGGACAACAATAATTTTGTGAGTAACAGAATATTAAAGTAGGCGGTGCCGATAAGGGGTGTACCTGGAGATCATCTTTGAGGATTTAGATAGGCACCGCCTAATTTAATATTATGTTTCTCACAAAATTATTGTTGTCCCATTTTCATATTTACATAACTCATGGGAAAAAACCTCAGCTTTCCAATGAAAATAAAAAAAAAACAAAAAAAAATTCCCGAAGGGGTGAAAATCGAAAAATAAGGGTTGATTTTGAAAAAAAAGGGGTCAAAAATTTTTTTTTTTAAATTTTGTATACATTTTTGAAAAGTACGTGAAAAATGCAATAAAATTCATTATAGATAAATTAAAATCCATTAACTTTTGTCATAGTTAAACGGATTTGAAAATGACAATGTTACCCTTAACGTCAAAACTTCAACCCCCTCTACTTTCTACAAATATTTTTTTAATTAATTTATATTTTAGGGATTTATTACTATCATATAGGACAACAATTTACCAAAGTATGAAGCCAATCCCAGAACATTGACTTTTTGGGCTGGGGCGATTGAAAAAGAATCTCTCATATATATATATAGATTATATATTATGGATATTTTTACCCGAAAATTTATAAACCTACAAAAAATTACGTATACTTTTTTTCTCAGAACTTTGGTTTTATAATAAACATATTTTTATATTTATTTTTTGATTTTTTTAAATAATAATTTGCAATATATATGTATTATAATAAGGAATAAAAATTCTTGGTGTTTTCGATTTTTTTAGTAAGATATTAATGTAATATTATTACTCATATTATTTATGATAATAATAATAAATATTATGAATAAAAAAAAATTATTATAAATAAATATTATATTTTAGAAAAAATTATAAAATCTTTATAAAAAATATAAGAAATAAATAAAAAATTAAAACATTTCTTTACCTTTACGGTGAGCACATCTGGCAATGGGTCATGAAGTTTATTATTTTCATGTACAGCCAGGCATGATGATGTACAGCATGATTTACAGGGCGATGTCCAAGTTAGCCCCGTGAGGTGAAGCACTATACCCCCACTCTACCGGCCGGGCCATAAACACGGAGCTCGAGAGACGCATGCACCGCGGGGGGCCTAAGCAGCGTTCTCGGGCCTAATCACATTTTCTATTTATGGCCCCTAATGAGTTTTTCATGAAAATTATAAAGTTTTTTAATATTAAAAATTTTTAATTTTTTTTAACATATTCACATTCCTCATAATTTCACGATTACGAGCATGTGTTAAATTAAAAATGTTAATATTTAAAATGTTTATAATTTTTATTGAATTATGTCGCCTGAATCCCCCAGTATTGATCTAGTCATGATACCGAATAACTTTTTTAATAAAAATTAAATCTTTTCAAATATCAACATTTTTACCCCTCATTTTTTTGCGATTCAGACATAATTTTTTTTTAAATGTTGAAATTTAAAAAGTTTTAATTTTTTTTTAATCACAATTTTTCCAGGCTTAGGACTTTTTAAATTTCAACATTTAAAAAAAAAATTATGTCTGTATCGCAAAAAAATGAGGGGTAAAAATGTTGATATTTGAAAAGATTTAATTTTTATTAAAAAAGTTATTCGGTATCATGACTAGATCAATACTGGGGGATTCAGGCGACATAATTCAATAAAAATTATAAACATTTTAAATATTAACATTTTTAATTGGGACAACACATGCTCGTAATCGTGAAATTATGAGGAATGTGAATATGTTAAAAAAAATTAAAAAATTTTAATATTAAAAAACTTTATAATTTTCATGAAAAACTCATTAGGGGCCATAAATAGAAAATGTGATTAGGCCCGAGAACGCTGCTTAGGCCCCCCGCGGTGCATGCGTCTCTCGAGCTCCGTGTTTATGGCCCGGTAGGTAGAGTGGGGGTATAGTGCTTCCCCTCACGGGGCTAACTTGGACACTGCCCGATTTACAACCATTTTATTTTCAATAGTAATATAAATAATACATTTTTTTAAAAAATTTTTAAAAAAATGTCCCAGAGAAAAGATATATTTACTTGTTACAAATGAATTTTATTAAATTAAATTTGATGTTATTTACAAATTTGTAGTTTTAAATAAACATATTATTAATATCAATCATATTAATTGTTTTCAGGAGCTGATGAAATTTATGAGAGTAGATGGTTTGCTTATGAAACAATGAGATTTTTAGATGACAGGGATAAACCACGAAAACGAGTAAACACAGTAAGTAATTGTTTTATATTTTCTTTTACAATTAATATTATTTAAATTAATAAATTTGTGAATCGCAAGATAATATTCCAGAAATATTATATTATTATGCATATGAATTTTGCCATTCTACAGCTCCTTCATTAAGAAAATATTCGGCAACTTCATTGCGAATTTGGTCGTAATAAACTTTAGCTCTTCTTGGGACATTCGGCAATGGAAACAATGAAGTCATATCTTGCTCATGTCTCCAAGAACCTTCCACAAAAATACCATTTTCTTCGCGGTCAAATAATTCTCGTGGTGAATAAATATTTGGTGAATGTTTTCTTAAATAATTATGAAGATGAAGACATGCCATTACAATTATTTGTGCTTTTTCTGGTTGTAGTAGCATTGGTCTTCTTAAAATTCTAAATACAGACGAAATAATACCAAACGCATTTTCTACAACTCGACGAGCTCTACTTAGTCGATAGTTAAAAACTCTTTTCGCAGTTCCTTTTTCATGCTCCCCTGGAAAAGGTTTCCATAGGTTTTTGTTCATAGAAAATGCACTGTCACCAACAATAAAATATGGAATTTTTATTGTACGTCCTGGAAATTCTTTCTCTTTTGGAAATCCTATAGTCCCCTCAGACATCATTTGATAAAGTAGTGAGTCTTTCAATACACCTCCATCTGAAATTCGTCCTTGACATCCGACATCCGCAAATAAAAAATTATAATTCGCATCGACTAATGCCATTAAAACAATACTAAAAAATGACTTGTAGTTAAAAAATTCAGTGCCTGAATTTATTGGTGATTGTAAGACAATATGCTTTCCATCAATTGCTCCTACACAGTGAGGAAAATTCCAAACTTGGTTAAAAATAGTTTCAATTTCTAGCCAAGCCGTTGCATTCGTAGGGATCTGCAAAAAAATAAAAAAAAGTTTTGTTTTAAAAGGCATCATTAAGTGAAATTATATATTATAATTACGTTCATTTATAGTAATATTTGTTGTTGAAAACAACTTTTTAGTTTCAGGTTATGTTAATAAGCTAAGAACCCTTAAATATTGGGTTGAAGTAAGTTTAATGTAGGGTCAAATTATTTTTTGGTTAGTTGAAGAAATGTGAATATTGTATACTATTAAAATTAAATAAATTAAACTGTATTATACTGATATCTTAGTATCATGTATTACTATTGAATTAAAAGAATACTTTCTTCAGGTACAAATTACGGCTGAAACCTCAGACGATGAAGACATTAATGTTGCTGATGACGATGATTCCAACCAATGCACAATTCAAGCATCAATACCGCAACCATCATCACCACAACCATTAACGCCACAAACACAAATAATACAACCATTAACGCCACAAACACCAATAAGACAACCATTAACGCCACAAATGCCAATAAGACATCAACCACAAACGCCACAACCGTCAACATCTCAAGCACCAGCATCACGAAAAAGAAAAAGGGGAGGAAACAATGATAACAGCATAATGTCAGAATGTTTGGATATCATGAGAAATGCTTCAAACCGTCTTAACCAACCAAATAGTAATTCATCATTGATATCAATTGTGGGAAATCTTTTTATGGGCAAAATGCATACTTATAGTATGCAAACACGGCATTGGGTTGAACGTGAATTATTTAACATTTTGGTAAAAGCTGATCAAGGTTATTATGAGAATCTGACCTCTAATTTTCCTCAATCAATTTATATCCCACCAACAAACAATGAGTCGAATTTTCCATCATATCCATCAACTTCTACAAATCAACACAACTCACAATCATTTGAGAATCCCTCTTTTTTCCGACCCTATATTCCTCTGACACCAACAAATTCACCATATAATCCTTCCTCTTTTTCTTCTCATTTGCCTTTCAATCGGACACCAAGTCCTGCTAACACACAATTATCCAATAATTCACCTCATTTTCAATCGCAGGAGTCCTACACACAGAATTTAGTTTACTCACAACCAACGAATAATTCCTCTTCCATTCCTTCTCAATCTTACTACTAATCTACCAAGAACAATATTCCCGCACAACAAAAGGGTATCCATAGGATAGCATAGTAATATCCCACGATTTGTTGGAATATCTTAAGGACTTAACATTGTTATATATGAATGTGTAATTCATGCATTAGTACAAAATTTATATTATATAATAAATATATTAATATATAATAATACTTGTAAATATTTTCTTTTACCTTTATATTTTCCTTCAATTCTTCAATGATTGCTGTACATACTTGCGGGACTATTCTTCCAATCGACTGTTTTGAAATCCGAAATACATATTGTAAACTTGAATATGTGTCTCCTGTTGCCAGAAAACGTAAAGTAATGGCCAACCTAATTAAAGAGTAAAAATATTAAAGACATAAAATATTGAGAAAATGAAAAAAGACCGTTCAAAAAATATTTCGTGGAGCGAAAGAAATTTTTTAAATGATTATAATGTAATTTTTTAAGGAATTATAATGTAAATACTTACCTATCTTGGACTGATATAGGATTTCTAAAGTATGTTTCCTTTTTAGAGATTTTTGATCCTATTTTGAGTAGTAAATTTTCAAAATCTGTTGGCGACATTCGAGTAAAGTTTTTGTAATGTCCACTAATGTGCTGAAATTTTAATGTGGTTAATAATGCTGAGCCGGTTCGTTTTTTATACAGTTCTGTACACCACCAGCGGGGAGATCTTCTTTTTTTCTTTTTTAATTTATTTAAAATAATTCAAGCACAACCGAAAATGAGCGATATATTTTCAGAATCAGACATTTTCACTGCTCTCACGAAATGTACTTTGCGAAGTATAGTCAACAACTGAGAGAAATTTTTTGTAGTATTTCTTTCACAGGTAATCTACATGTTATACCTGTAGTTTTTCCCTTTACCAATGTTCTTCCTCTAGGACAGTATTGGGATCTGACATGGGGGCGGGGCCTAAAGCAATATGGCGTAAATTGGGTAACACTTTTAGTGAATTTACATGGGATGCAATAGAACAAAAGGGGCGCATGAATATCACATAATGATCATTTGATAGAATTATCAATATTTCGGAATTCTTTGTTTAAAATTGATATTTACCAGAAATCAATTAATTCTAATTACATTTTAGATAAAATTTGATGCCAATGAAAACTTATTTGGATGATTAATAATGTTGTAGAATTATCTCTTGATCGAATTAATATTTATTTGAAAGATAATATATCATTTTCAAACCGCGAACTTGTAGTTAATTGAATTTCAATTATTGCGAATTTTGAGAGAACAGAGATTATGGATAAAAAAATATTCATGTGTAGAAATGTTTGTGCACTTAATTATGATTTAGAGGAATTTGTAGGATTTAGAATATTCTGATAAGAGCATATCTATTTAACATGATATCCAATTGTCAAAATTTTAATACAATTACTTATTATTTAAAAGAATTTTAATTCAACCGAAATTCCATTAAATAGTTTTCATATGTAGCAAAAAAAATAATTAATACAAATTTTTGTTACTAGAAAGTGTATTTTAGTGAATTTTCATTTGATTATATTTTTGGGAGACATAATTTTAAATGACAGTAAGCTGCTTACAATCAAATTTTTGTGTACCCGACTTTGAATTTATTAAAAGTTTTATTCATAATAATTATTAATTGAAATAATATTATTTTCTCAACATAAAGATTAAAAGAATGAAAAAGATAATAAAATGTTATGAGAAAGAAATTTTATTTAAAAAAAAGTATATTCAATATAATTGTTGGTTAACACAATTTATTTTAAGTACAAATTTTATGTTATATATGTAATATTTAATGAAAAGTTTATTTATTCAAATTCTCATTTAGTTTAATTTTTTAATAACCTAACTAACATGTGAATAGATTTTTGCTTAAATTACTTTATATTTGACATAAGATTCATATCGTCAAACTTTCATATGACCAACATTTTATTAAATTAAATCTTATTTAACACTATTGCAATATAAACGAATGTTTGTAGGGTCAGTCGGGGTAAATCCGAACGGGGGGTAAATACGAACGCTAATTATTTCAGCTTAATTAAAATTTTTAAAAATAAGTTCGATATGAGAATTTTTACCTCAGATCCTCTTGAAGAGATTCTAAGTATTATCCCATTTTTTGTTTGTTAATTAGCAACAGCATAAACAAAGATAACAAGTATTGCAAAAAAGATTGAAAATCAAAGATGACACTCTTTCAGTATTTTGTCTCGTATTTGAAGAAAAAGAAGCTAAAAATTCATTTTATTATTTATAATTGTTTGTTATGAATACTAGAACAGAAACTATATTTGATTTTTGCCTTCTGTAAAATTTTATTAATAATATCAGACCGTTCGTATTTACCCAAGAAAATTGGAAAACTGGGGTAAATCCGAACGGTATTTTTAATAATTTTTTTTTACATCAAAGCCACACAAAATTGTTTTTATTTGATTACACTATTATTTTAACATTATAAAAGTACATAGAAAAAAGTTTTTCTTTCTATACGTATCCTCGTTAGTAATTAATAAGCAGAAACTTAATCTCTGTTCTCTCGAAGGAGTGTTTCAATTTTTTTGTCAAATGGTTTGTTGAAAAAAGTTTTTCAGGATCTTAATAAAATTTGGTATTCTACGGTTTTTGGGGTCGCTAATTACCAATTTGAAGTCAGTTTTTCAAAATTCAAAATGGCGGACGAGAATTAAAAAATTCATTGGATTCGCTCGAAAATTGTTACTCGGGGGGTTTCAGGGTTAGCAAATTTGATCATTTTTAAAAATAAGTTTTAGGAAAGTCCGCCATTTTGAATTTAAAAAATTTGACTTTTATTTTTGTATTTACATTCAATCACTCCAAAATACTTTCTGTACCAAGTTTTGCAAAAATCCGTTATGATTTGATAAAGTTATTGAAGGTTTTAATTGTGTAATGCATTTTAATTTTTAACCTGTTTGATTTTTGTATTTATATATGATGCATTATTACATAATAGGTTTATTATCGTATTTTTTTGAGTTTTTATATAAGTTTAACAATTGCAATACTTTAAATTTATTTTCCCTAAGATTTTTCTGAAATACAGTGGCGTTCGTATTTACCCCCATATTTTAGGAAAGTTGCAAAGTATCGAGGTAAATACGAACGCTAAGTTTCCTGCGATTGTAATTTATCAAAAATTTTTTCTACCCCATAAAATTGTTCTATGGAAGTAAAGTAACAACTTCATGCACCAGAATACCGGAAGTATTTTTTTTTAAAGAAAAAACTTATGTTATTGTTGAAACTTACTAAAAGCGTTCGGATTTACCCCGGTTGACCCTATAACTGAATTTTTGAATAATCGAACTTTTATTTGATAAAATTTTTAACTCACCAAAATGTCAAATAATAGAATTCAATTTAAGGTACGAGTTTCCACTCAATGTTCAGTTTGTTTTTGGTCGCTTGCTAATGCAGATAGCGCCACGTATAGTTTCTACAGTGCATTTTAAATGTGCGTGAAATTCAAAATAGTGAAATTATATATTATTACAAGGTAAGTGGAAAAATTTGAAATTTATAAATATTCTTTTGTATATTTCTTTCATTTTTAATGTATAATGTTCTAAACGATTTAATGATTTAAAACTTTTATAATTAGTTATTTTAAATGACATTCGATCAAAATATATATCTTATCATATGAGAAATTTTACCTTTAAATTTTATACGATAGATACCGTGACTCTGACGAATTATGTATTTTTCTTCTGTTTTTAATTTTTTTTTAAATATGTCAAACCAATTATTATAAATGAAGATAATCATTGTACAAAAATTATTGTGAAAATATTATTCAGTTTAATTTTACATATAATAATATTAAAAATGTGAATAAAAAAATTTTATAGATCTAATATTATACAATAATGTATTTTTTTCAATGAAAAGAATAAAATATTAATACAGGAAGTAAATAGGGACGAACTTTTAAATTTTCTAAATTAATTTTATATGAATTATAATATAAATATCAGATTTGTTTCATTAAAAAGTAATTGTTTTAAATCAGATACAATGTTGTAATAATATTTCTATAAGAAAAATTTCCATTTATTCAATTTTCTCTTAATTGAATTGATTACTCATTTGAAGTTATTTTTAATTTTTCATAAAAGACAATAGATTTTCTTAACATTTTATTTAAATAATCTTTGATAGTTTTCTAATGTAGGGTAAATGCACTAATTACTGCGCGATTCGAGTCAAAACACCTGTGAAATAGAAAATTCGACATTTTGATTGTATAAAGTAAATTTAAGACTTATTAAACTCAAAAGCTTATGTTATTTAGATATTAAAAAAAATTAACTTTATAAAAATCAATTATTTTAACAAATATGAGAAATTAAAACTAATAGCGTAATTTTCTGTTACCGCGCGTTTGTATCTGTTTCGGTGTGTCAATTTCGGTGACCAAAATTACGTGTATTTTGAAGATACTATGCCCATCGTAATTGAAGCCAATGGAAATCTTAAAAATCTTTCAATTACGGTGAGGGAACAAATTTGATCTCAAATAATTAAATTAATACGTAATTGTTTAAATGTGCATCTTTTTTAGTAATTGTATTAAAAAAAAAGATTTAAATCATTTTTTAAAATTATTTTGCAACAGTTACATTAAATATAAAAGTAATTTATTTATTTATTAATATACGGGACTAAAAAGAAATTTACCATTTGTACATATAGTATTTAAATATTCAAATAATTAATAATAATTAATTAATTTAATATTTTACAATAAAAAAAATTATACTAAAATAATTTTTTTAGCCACCTTTATTTTTATATACTCTTTATTTGTATCTCTTCCTATTTATTTAAAAACTAAAAAAGTATAAAACGTCAGAAATGACAAATTCTACTTAAATAAATATCACAGATACATAAACAAAAAATAAAATTAAGTCCAAATGTTTCTATACCATGCCGATGAATTATGAGCCAAAAGTTTTGAACGTTGAAATAAACGAAATTTTTTTGTAACTTAAAAGTACTTAAAAGCGATAAAATGCTCGATTTAAACATAAACCCTTATTATTAAAAAGAACTCTGCCCTACACATTGGGCATGTTTGTTGAGGTTGTTCGGAATAGGTCTCCTTGCAAGTGTCACAAATAGCTAAGTGTCCACAGGGCACAAAGCAATTAGTAGATGCAGTTTCCCGACAAATGCAGCACATGCTACCCTGATTTCTCACATCACCAACAAGTTCTGTAAATCATAACAAATATTTCAACATTTCACATTTAACGAAAAAAATAAAAAATTGTATCAATCAATATTTAAGACCAAATTTTGGTTGAAAATAATTTTTGTGCAATTTATACAACGAAATTCTTCAAAATTTGACAATTTTAATTTGAACCTTCTTATAACTCCATTTATTTTAACTAGAAATTATTTGAAATGAAAATTATTAATGAATTTAAAATAAAATTGTCAGACCAATTCTAGTATTTGAATTTACCCAGAAAATTCGTTTTTAAAAACAGTTTTATCATAAAATATCAAATAGATCAAATAAGCAATTTTTTAATTAACATGAGTTGAAAAAGAGGAAAAGTAAAAAATAATAATGATTGTACGTCTTTTAGTTGGTTTTTTTGGAAAAAATATCTATTTTCTTAAATAATAATAATTACCTTCATCTGAAGAATCTTCACCTACATCATTATCGCTTTCAGAGTTGATAATTTCATTTTCCATTGCTTGCGGATTGACAGAAACTGTAAGAAATCAATTGTTTATTAATAAAATAACAGGCTTATTACTGTAATTATGAAATTTCCAATCAAACAAAAATATCAATTCAAATTAAACATATATTATATTTTTATTCTTACCTTCTGGTTGATCGAACGGATAAATGTTTGCATAATCTATGAAAAGAAATAAATATTTTTTAAATTTAATTTTTTTGACTGAGAACAGAGGATTAACTATAAAAAAGACAAACAATATGTGAATAAAATAAATTACCTTGGTTGATCAGTTGAAATTCATTGTTTTCACGAATTGTGTTGTCACTTAAATAAAGAGCAAGAAACTGAACACATTGCTCAGATGATAAATAGCTAAACTGCAAAAGAACTTCAAGTGGAGAACGGTTTTCCAAGAGAAATTCGTTCCATGCTCGTTGGAGTTTACATTTCCTTATTCTGGTGAAAATTTTGGAACATACAATGTGATTAATTTGTCCTCCCTCAATTTTGATTCTATCTTTTCGGGACTGTTTTTGCAGGGAAACTATTCCTTCTGTAAGTTAAATAATATACATATATTATTTCTACTCGATTTTAAACTACAAAAAATTTGATATCATTAATTCTTAACAATTTAAGGATTTTAGATTTTTATATATTTATTGTATGTTCATAACCTTTTGAAAATTTCGTTATGTAAAAATACGTATAAAAAATCTGTCTTTGAGTTTAAAAATTCGTCTAAAAAATAATTGTTACTAATGAAATACTTTAAAATATAAATTCTAATTACTGATGATAACGGAAAATTCATGCATCCTGTATTGTTTTATTAATGTATTTGAAATTTATCTTACTCAGGAATTTCCAAGGCTGAGGGAACTTTCCCACCTTGTTTTCTAGGCGATTGCAATATTTTTCCAAACAAAGCGAAGAACGACTCAAGCTCCTATGAACTGAAAATCGTTCTGGCGTAACCGTTGTGATCCACTCTCTCTCGAATGTCTGATTAAACAATTGCAGAAGGTTTGAATTTTCATCGTTCAACACTAATTTTAATGCAGTAAATGTATTAACTATTATTGCTGCAGGAAGAAAAGGTAAGGCAAAAATAGAGAGAAGAAAAACTTTGACTTGGTTGTTATCATCTTCCTCAAATAAGAAATGGTCAATCCTTAATAACTCAATTAGTTTGTAGATATTCTGAAAATTAGAATTAATTGATAGTAACTCAGCAGAAAACCATGTTCTTTCCAGAAACGTTGTTAAAACGTTTTTAGAACGTTTCATTGGAACATTTTTTGGCAAACATGTTCACCAAATGTTTCAGAACATTATATGTCGGATGTTAAACGTTTTAAAAGTGTTCTTAAAAGGTTTTTAGAATGAACATGGTTTCTCACCCACTGAGTGAGCTTGAAATATTTATCAATATAATTTTGATTACTTACTAAAGATTATTACATAAGATAAATAAGAGAGAAGCTTTGGTAATTTAATTAAATGACATTTATAAAAATTGGTCCAATTCAGTAATTTTGAAAAATTGTAATTTTTTTCATGTATTTCATTTCGTTTCATTAATGGTCTAAGGGCAGTGGATTTTTTTAAATTTTATTTTAAAAAAGGCTTTCACTTTACTGTCAAAAAATATATATTTAAAATTAAGAAATATTGATATTTCAAGCTAATTCACAAAATTGTAATTTTTTCTTGTTTTAAATAGTTCGGAGTTATATGAGAAAATTTATTTAGTAGCATTCTTATTTAACAAAATTGTTGTCAGAATCTATAATTTAATAAATTTTGATTTAATAGAATTATTATTCTATCACGGTTTATTATGAGAACGCAATGCTAAAAAGACGGAGAAAGTAAACATAATTTTTGGTGATTTTAAAAAAAAGGGAATAAAGTAAGAAAAAAGGATATTATACTATTATGTTAAAAAGGAAACCAACTGTGATCCCTTTAATACCTAATAATAATTATTGCTCTTATAATTTTTACCTCTTGATAATAAAAGAGAGTTCCATAAACATTTGATGCCGGAAAAACTTCTCGAATACTTCTTTGTAGAAAATTATCAAAATTAGTGAAGGCAGTAGCAATTGAAAATTCGGGGATGACTTCTCGTACCCCTTGAATTATCGCTGTGTAAGCTTCTTGGCTTTGTGCGTTGTTAATTGCCCATGCACACGGAATTGCCTAAATGTTAATGAAACGTGATTAAAAAATAATAATAATAAAATAAATAATTAATGTTAAAAAGTAATTTTTCAAGAAGAAACACTTTTTGATGAAAGAAAATGCACAAGAACAAAATGTAGGCCTAGGATCTATTTTAAGGCACAAAAAACGTTATTTTAGTCGATTTACATTCCCAAATGGACGATTTTTTTATTTTAAATAGATTTAATGAGTTAATAACTATTTTACTTTAAATAACTACCGTCAATCAGGGCTATTCTGGTACACCAAGTACAAAATTATAAATAATTATTATTATGCAAAAATTAATTTTCTAATATATGAAAAACCCCGTTACTTCAATTCAAAATATCTTAAAAACAATTATGGGCCTTATTAAGTTATTTAATTTACCTAAAAAAAGTTAATTTGAAATTTGTTTAAAATATCATGCTTAACTTCAAAAAAATTCAGTAATTATAATAAAATCACTATTACAATAACAATAATAATAAATGTTGAGCATTTTTTAAAATTATTTACAGAATATGTAGTTAAAAGTTTTAATACAGTTTAAGTCAATGAAAAAATGATTTATCAAGATAATTGAATTTGTTAAATATTTTATGAGGTTAGTTCCACAATAGGCAAAATTCTATCGTCACACGGAGAGAAAAAATGGGCCTTTACAGCATACATAGATCCATGCTGTTAAGGCCCGTTTTTTCTCTCCGTGCATGAAGACGATTTTCATAACAAAACGATGAACACACATCATTTTTCTATTGTCGACAATCTTTTTGTTTTGAAAATCGCCTTCAAGACGATACGATTTTTTCTATTGTGGAACCAACCTCAAAATTACGGAAATTAATTTATTTAAAGAAGAATTTTAGTTTAAAAATTGATAAATATTAATTATAACAATTAATAACGTAATATTATGAAAATGTCACTTATAACGCCAAAATAGTATAGGATTAATTATTTATAAAATTCATTGCAAAACATTATATGCTAAATTTTATTAATAATCCATACTTACATATCCATTCTTCACGACAATAAAAGACAGAAGCTGTTCGCTCCAAATAGACGAGGGTATAGATTTTTGTGAAATGTGTATGTAAAATTGAGCATTTGTGATTAAATCTCTTGAAAAGTTAGTGTCAATTATGACAACAGAAACAGAGGTGTCAGTTCCTGTGACGCTTCTAATATGTAAACGTTCATTTTCATAACTTGAAAGATGCCTCCACTCCATCGAATTTGCTATTTCGTTAAAATCACGTAAATTTTCTGGTACTCTTGGGATCCTACTGTTAGTCCATCTTAACATAGTAGGATGAATTGATGGAAAAGGAACTCCGCGCACAGCATTTTCATGACTAAATATGTATGAAAATAGTAATAAAAATTTTCAATATTACAACATGTTTACGTATTCAACTATTTTTTTAATTTTGACAGAATTAGGCAATTTCTTCTTCTTTTTAATTAGAAAAATTAGCTTTTTCCAATATAATAATATATGAAAATTAAATTAGGACAAAAAGGGAAAATGTAGTGGTGGCAGAGTTTATGAATAAAGATAAAAGAAAATTATAAAAAAACAGTAAGAACTTTTGAGTAAAAAAATTATTTTTATAATTCAAAACTGTCTAGTAATTTATTATAAATTATATAGAAGTTTTTGTTGAATCCTAAAATTTTTCGTACTTTTTTTATTTAAAAGCTTCATTGTAACTTTATTATTTAAAAGGACCATCCAGAAATTACCTAACGTAAACATTTCAACTACTTATTAATTCATATTTTTTGTTAATGTTACTAGACTCCACAATAAAAATAAAAAATTTACTTACAATTGACGAAGATTATTGTACACATTTCGAGGAGTGTTATTTTGCCTTGTAACACTATTAAAAAGTTCGTTTCTAAACGATAATTCTTCTCCAAATCTTTGATCAGGAAGATGGCTATGAGTAACAGATAATCCAAATGACCCGTTTCGACGGATAAGGCCCCTTCCTGGGCATTGTCTGGTTCGATGGAATTTACAAATAAGGTAGCTAAAAGTAAACACAAAATTCTAAAGAAATTTTTTTCTTTTGAGATTCAATTCTCAAATTCAAAACACCTTTTTATTATTAATTTTATTGTTATTATTTTTAATTCATTATTATTAAATAATATAATCACAAAAGATAATCACAATAAATATAATCACAGTTCAACAGTTACTTACGTTATCCCTCCTTTCTGTTGATTTTGTGTGTAATAATGTCCTTCGTATAAATACAAACTTCTATGTGGACCATTATTTATTCTTTGAATTCTTTCTGGTCTATAAATTTATTAATTACAATTTTAATTTTTAATATTTTTAGTTATATAAAGTTATAGTATATATATATATATATATATATATATATATATATATATATATATATATATAGGTATATATATATATATATATATATATATATATATATATATATATATATATATTTAAATTCGGTCAAACATATTATTTTCTTGTTCTGTAGTGAAAAAAGTGATACGTATTTTTTTATTTTTTTCTGAAAAATTTTCTAGTTATAAATTTTTAAAGTTTCAGTTTTTTCATTGTAGACCTATTTTCAATGGCTTTTCAATAATGTTAACGAAATTTTTTTTTCATTTTTTATTAAAAAAATAATTATTATTTATAAACAAATTAAGTTTTTTAAAATTTGGATATGATTTTTTCTTAATTTTTTTTTAACAAACCTGGAAATACTAAGAAGATTTTGCAAAAAAATTTAGAGTGGACCGAAAAGTTTTATACGTTTAAATAAACATTTAAACACAGCGCGCAGCAATTTGGGCATTTTTGAAAATTAAAAAAAATTGTAAAATTGTTAAAAATTATTTTTTTCATTTTTCATAGTGAAATATGATTTCAGGTTCCAAAAAAATTTTTTTAAATAATTTTTAACAATTTTTTGTAATTTTCAAAAATGTGCAAAATTTAAAATTGTTAAAAATTAAAAAAATTTTTTTTGGAACCTGAAATCATATTTCACTATAAAAAATGAAAAAAAATAATTTTTAAAAATTTTACAATTTTTTTTTAATTTTCAAAAATGCCCAAACTGCTGTGCGCGGTGTTTAAATGTTTATTTAAACGTATAAAACTTTTTGGCCCATTCTAAATTTTTTTGCAAAATCTTTTTAGTATTTCCAGGTATGTTCAAAAAAAGTTTTTTAAAATCATATCCAAATTAAAAAGAAACTTAATTTGTTTATAAATAATAATTATTTTTTTAATAAAAAATAAAAAAAAATTTCGTTAACATTATTGAACAGTAAAAGAAAAAATACTTATAACATACAATTTATGACTGAAAATTTAATTTACTTTTCCCTGAAAAACTCGTAAATAATAAAAAATGAATATCCGGATCAAATAACTCGACCGACGCTCGGACGAACGCTCTATTACCAGTCAAGTAGCAGTGACAGCCTGTGGGCGGCTCACTGCTACCCGACTACCATTAGAGCGTGCGTCCGAGCGTCGATCGAGTTATTTGATCCGGGTATTCAAATGTTTTCAATAGATACAATAAGTTGGTAAAGTTTCCAATAAAATATTTGATCTTATCAAAATGTGAATTTAGAGTAAACAAGCTTTATAATTTACTTAATAATGTACTTTCTCGATCTTGGGTTAAAGAGGTTCAACATATTAACCTATTAAAATTATAAGAATTGCATATAAATTACAAATATTTACTAACTTTTAAGAAAAATACAAAATGTTTATTATTTATTATTTAACAAGAAATTTTAATTCAAAATAATTTTTTTCCAAAATTGTATCCGTCGAATTTGAGTATAATAAATTTTAAATATATTTTTAGGTCTGTTAAAAACTACTTTTTAGTTTGAGGTTATGTTAATGAGTTGAACCTCATTAAATATTTAGTTTCATGACTTTATGAAACCATTCTTTTATCAAGAAACAAGCTTATTTCCGTTAAAAATGCTTTCTTTCCTCTTTTGATATTATAAATTTGCTGGTATATTTTAAACAATTTTCTAATACCCTTTTTCTTAAAAAATATTTCAATCAGTTAACATAAAAATGCATCTTTTTATTCACCCTTAAATTTTGAAAATTATTTCAAAGAAGTGAAATTTAGAAGCTAATACTTATTTTTCGACATAAACATAAATAAAATACAACAAATAATAACATAAATCTCATTATTCAGAAATTATTATATTTGCAATATGTAAATTAATAGTTACCTATTATTTTCATTTCGTTCCATGTTTTTTTGCTTTTGAGAAGCCAAGCTTCTTGAGACACTTTCCTCTACGTTGCCAGAACGGAAAAGACCGAGTTTTGTACATGCAGGATTGTCTATCATTGCACGCAGCAGTGTTGCTTTTTCGGCGCTCTTATATGGCAACGTCGCGAAATTCATCTTACGAATGCGTGGAGTGGAGGAACTCTCTCCCTCAGTACGTTCTACAAGTTCACACTGTCAAGGCCTATATCCAATAGGATTCTAACAATATACGCAACGCATGTTGTTAAGATTCCATTGGAGAAAGGGCTTCAACTCTTTTTTTCTGTACATACTTTTTTACAATCATGTAGATTGACAAATCAAAATCAAGAATTCTAAGGGAATATTTACATAAGCCTGATTAATGGATGATTAGCAGATTAGATTTAAACCAATAAGAGAGCAGTTTCTTGTAGTTAATTATTTTGATTGGTTGATATTTAATCTTCTGTCCATTATTCTGTGTCATGTGACTGCATTTATCTTGGAAAATAGAAAAGGACGACATATAAATCCTCGCTTTATACATCTCTATAGTTGCGTTCCAAATTTATTCATGGGTGAATTCTCTATCAGCTTATAAAAATTGTATATCCACTATCAAATAGTTGATTAACCATCGTTAACTTTTAAAATCAATAATTATTTATTCATTGATTTTTAATTGTAAGGTTTTTTCAGTGATGACCCTGGCGGATTCGATTTGCGTAATGTCTACTTAACTAAGCGGACTTTAGGTAGACATTAGGTAGACATGTAAAAAAACGTATAAAAAAGCTATTAATCGACTTATTATGATAAAAAAAAGTTGATAAAAGGGTAAATGAATGTTTATAGAGTAAATTTGTACAAAATTTGTAATTAATAAAGCAATAAATAATTAATAATGAATGGAAATGTGCGCGAGGTACCTGATCAGTTCAGCTGTACAATTATTTTCGTGCTATTTTCATGAAAAGAATATAAATTAACTGCAAAAACAATTGATATTTATAAAAAAAGTGTAAAATTGATTTAATTTTATTGTTTGCAATACGAATTATTAAATAATAATTAAGTTTTTATCAAATGTGAATAGTGTTGTGAAAACCTGTGAAAACTAATGAGTTACTACATTACCGATCGCATATGAGAGATGGCGCCACCAGTTTTTACAATACAGTGCGAGCATGTTTTCTTCCAAGCTTTTGCTTTGAAAGAAAATAAAAAGTGAATTTTAAAATGCAGAATAAAGTTATACAAATAATTATTGATTTCATAATTGTTTCTCGTCCAAAATTACGGACATGATTGCAGCTTTTTTGTTACACTCATCGAGAACTTTTTATTATCATATGCGATCGGTAATGTAGTAACTCATTAGTTTTCACAGGTTTTCACAACACTATTCACATTTGATAAAAACTTAATTATTATTTAATAATTCGTATTGCAAACAATAAAATTAAATCAATTTTACACTTTTTTTATAAATATCAATTGTTTTTGCAGTTAATTTATATTCTTTTCATGAAAATAGCACGAAAATAATTGTACAGCTGAACTGATCAGGTACCTCGCGCACATTTCCATTCATTATTAATTATTTATTGCTTTATTAATTACAAATTTTGTACGAATTTACTCTATAAACATTCATTTACCCTTTTATCAACTTTTTTTTATCATAATAAGTCGATTAATAGCTTTTTTATACGTTTTTTTACATGTCTACCTAATGTCTACCTAAAGTCCGCTTAGTTAAGTAGACATTACGCAAATCGAATCCGCCAGGGATACTATAAATGTAGCGTTTAAAGAAACTATTTTAACGAAAATAATTAATTTTCGAAAATAATTAATTTTCGAAAATGAAGTTTTAAAATAAATTTTCAATTTAAAAATGCTAATGAATTGGCTCAAATATTCGTCTCTTCTAATAAGTGATAATTTATTAAACCTCGTAAAAACATTATTGCATATTTGCTTCTATTCAAATAATTATATAACTGTCATTTTTTAAATTTACATCCTTTCGGACAATTGTGCACAACTTTTAGAATGAAAATTTTTTTGATACTCAAAATTCGCTTATCGAAGTACACCGTAAACATATACATAAAAATGGTTCTTATTATTTGCGTTGAAAGCATTCCCCATCATTCTTAATAACAGTAATGATGGACTCTTGAAGCAAAAGTACTTCATAGACGTTTCTTAGAAAACCAGTTACCAGTTTTTTACTTAAAATAATTTAAATTCAATAAATGGAGAGAGTGCTAAACTTGATCCCATTTATTTTTAAGGCCTAATCAGTGTGCATGATAATAGCTACACGGTTAAATCTTAAGCACTAATTCAAAGTTTTTTTTCAATTTTGCTTTATATGATGTATGATTTTTTTATAATATCAGTTTATAATATTTTTACAGCTAACTGCAATGACTGATACTTCAGTAGCCACTGATAGTGTCAGTGACCCGAAAGTTAATGTAGAAACGAATAGCCCTCCAACTGGCTCTAAGTCAGGTGAAGAAAATGTGAGTATTCTAGAATTAAAATGACTCTTTTTAGTCTACTAATAAGGAACCTTTTCTTTCTGGATTTTTTAAGATAAAAGAATAAAATAAAGAATCAGATTTTAGAGCTGATTTACAAACATTATAAATTTACTAAAATATTTTTCTGATTTAAGAAAGATAAAATTTGTTGAATGTAGAGGGGACCAAACTTGGTCTCGTTTATTTGTCAAGCTTAATTAGTGGGCGTGTTCGGAGTTAAACAGTTTAATCTGCAGCACTAGTTCAAAGTTTTTCTGGATTTTTCTTTCGACTTTGTAAGATTTTTTAAAAATACCAATTTATAATATTTTTTTACAGCCCGGTGCAGTGACTGATACTGACACTGATGATACCAGTAATTCGAATGATATTCTCGAAACAAATAGCTCTCAAATTAGCTCTAAGTCAGATGAAGAGAATGTGAGTATTTCTAAATTAAAAAGATTATTTTTAGGCTTCTTAAAAAAGAACAGGACTTTTTCTTTCTGCATTTTTTAAGATAAAAGAATAAAGTTTAAAAAAAAACAAATTTAAGGGTATGTGGGAACCTCCCACGTGACCTAGTATGGGAAAATGTGTTTTGGTAGTATACATTTCACTCTGAAATGAGAAAAGATTTTTGTCTAAAATTTTGAGGGATGATATATTAGGGCACAAGAAATCTCGCTGTTCTCCGAAAAATACATAATTTTGAGTTAAATTATTAAAAAATGATGTTTAAAAAGTGACATTTTTAAACGAAAATGAAAACAAACATGGCGGCGTATACACAGACGTTGCTTGAGTGTGTCAGTGCTCCAGTAAACAGCGCCAATTCGAGCGAGTGGCCGCTGAATGAACTATGATAAAACACATTATTTTTCTATTTATTGCTTTATTTTTATTATTTTCGCGTTAAGTTATAGTAAATGAGAAGAATAGCGAGATTTCTTATACCAAACTAAATCATTTTTCCAAAATTTTAACCCGAAATCATTTTTTATTTCAGAGAAAGTTTCAAACCACAAAAAAACGTCCTTTGCCCACATACCCTTAAGACCTTATTTACTAACATTATAAATGTACAAAAATATTTTTTTAACTTTAAAAAAATTGAAATTTATTGAATATAGAGGGCTCTAAACTTGGTTCCGTTTATTTGTGAGGCCTAATTAGTGGGTATTATTGCAGCTAAACAGTTTAATCTGAAGCACTAATTTTAAGTTTTTCTGAATTTTGCTTTCTACTGTTTAAGATTTTTCAAAAATATCAATTCATAACATTCTTACAGTCAACTACCAAGACTAATACTGGCACTAATGATTCTAATGCCTTGAAAGAAAATACCGGAAGTCAAGGCCCTCCAAGTACCTCTAATTTGGGTGAAGATACTGTAAGTATTCCGGAGTCAAAAAGACTCTATTTACACTGAAAAAAAATTACTCTGATCAAATAAAAATTACGTTATTTAAGAAAATAATTTACTTGTAATATAATATAATAAATTTAAATAAATATCAAATAAATTTATCATTTATAAAAATTATTTCATTCAATACTGCTTGAGTAGCCAAAAGTTTTGCACATTTAAATGAACGAAATTTTTTTGCAACTTCTTTAAGTACGAATTTTATTACAAAATAATATTTTAAATATCTAAAAAGCAGATATTAATTCAATAATTTTTTAATTTGCTGTTTTATAATTTATAACCATCATAATTTTTATTAATTTATAGATTGAAAAAAATATTTCGTTCATTTGAACAATCAAAACTTCTTTACACATCAAAATCTATTTATTTCATCCAAATATTTTTTATTAGTTTTCATAGAATCATTTATTAAATATTGCGTTATTTCTATTAAATAAATTAGTTTTCTTGAATCAATAAAAAAAAATTTATTGTGTCAAATTATTTTTTATTTGTATCAAAAAACAAAATATTTGAGTAATATAAATAAAGGAATAGTTTCAAACAACACTATTTTTATTTAAAATAAATATTTACTTGATAGAAATATTCTTTTTTGTTTTCATAAAATAATGTATTAGTATTAAATAATGCATTATTCGCATTAAAAAAATTAGTGTAGTAGAATCAATAAAATAAATTTATTCTGTCAAATAATTTTTATTTGTATAAAAAATCAAATATTTGTGTAAAATAAATGAATACATTATTTTAAATAATTTATTATTTGTTAAAACTTTCATCTGTTTCAAATAATTTAATTTACTTAAATCAAACCTTTTTTTTAGTGTGGAAAATGATAAGTTAACCATTTTTTTAATTCCATTTCGGTCCAATTCTTCTTTGGTGGGGCCAAATTTCACCCAAAAATTAATTCTAATCTGCAAAATTCGGAATTGATAAAATTTGTATATTTAAAAAAAATGTTTTATTGATTCTTGAACAATTTTCAATTTTATTTATGTGCAGTTTTTGCATAAAATAATTTTTCTTTTTATTTATTATAATTGAGTAAGTTACTTAAATATAAACAGAAGTTTATGTGTCCAGATGAATGAAAACTAATATTTATATTTAAAGGCAGTTAATGTTTGTAGTATAATAATTAAAACTTTATTTATAAATATGTCTTATTTTCTATATTCTGTAAATTAGATTGCGTTAATTTTTACGATATATATAGAAAATAAACATTTACAGGTAAAAAAAATTAAAAATGGATCAGGTCGCAGTGGAGGAGATGGTAAATTAGCTAGAGCAGCAGCATTTAAAGTAAGTTAAGAGTGTAAATCCAGGGTGTCTACTTACCGAGAATGTAAATTAACCGGGAAAAACTGGGATTTAGCCGGGAATTTTACGTCAAAACAGGGATTTTTCTTACTTACGTTTAAATCAAGTTTTATGAGTTTAATTATATATTAATTTTCTTTATGGATATAAAGGCTAGAAAAATAAGGAATTTTTTTAATTTTAGGTCATTTCGTTTCGAGGTCTACATTAAAGAGTTTATACCTAGTCAAGAGGTACAAAAAGCAATTTTCTGAGAAATTTTTCAAAGGAAGTTTTTGCATTAGATTATGTAACTTTTGAAGTAAAAGTAATATTTTTAATTTTGCAAAAAATATTGATTTTCGTGGTTGCTGCAATGATTTTCCCATGGCTTCTCTAAAAAAGGGTCTTACAGTGAGCAAGATATTTTTTCACTGGATCATCTGAAATAAAAAACAGCAAAATATTTGTTTAATATATAAGATCAAATCTTGTTTTTTAAGGAATAAAAAGTTCTACATTAACAAAGTTGCAGCATCTAAAAAAGTTTTTTTAATTTCTTTTTTTTAAAGCTGCTTTGTGTAAAAGCTTTGTGTAAATCTATTATTTTTTCATTCCGTCAAAAAAAACAAGATTTGATCTTATATTAACTAAATATTTTTTTATTTCAGATGATCCAGTTAGAAAATACCTTGCTCATCGTAAAACACCTATTTTTAGAGAAGCCATGGGTAAATTGTTGCAGCAGTCACGAAAATCGACATTTTTATAAAATTACAAGTATTGTTTATACTTTAAAATTTATATACTCCGATGGAGAAAATTCCATTCTAATAAATTAACAACTTTCTTAAAAGAAATGGCTTTTTTTGGCCTCCTGGTATCATATGCTACCAAGTTTTATTTAAATTCGTTAGCTTACTCCGAAGAGATATCTATCCGTCCCGGGACTTTTGATATACCCTGTATAATGATTACTCTTTATTATATACCTAATCATTATTGTAATTGTGTAATAATTAAAAAATATTTTTTAGGTTACTAAAGAAGCAGAAAAGTTAAAAAAGAAAGAAGAACAGGAAAAGAAGAAAAAGAAGGAGGAAACTAGTAAGAGAGAAACGAATAAGAGAGAAAAATCACGAGATAGAGAAAGATCGAGAGACAGGAATGCAAGAAGAGATAGAAAAAGGTCGAGAAGCAAAAGCTCTAAATCAAAACAAGAACAGGACCAAGCACGATGTAAGAAAATTTTACAATTATGTATGCAGAATAGATTGGTTGTCATTATATTAATATATTTCCGGTTATTTGCAAAAACGTGACTTTTCAAATAAAATTTAAAAAACCTATCCTTCCAGATGAGATTTAAGAAATATGCAAATAATGTATGTAAATTACTTCATTTTCAAATAAAAATTACGAAAAAAAACTTGAAAAATAATTTTCGGGAAAATTTTCAACTTGATTAAATCTTTTTAATACTACACGGAGAGAAATCTGCTGCGATTTTTGCTTGGATGAGTAAATTACTTTAATTACATGACACGACACTTGCATTTTTAGCATAAATTCAAGTATTTATTGTAACAATAGTTTCTAAGCAAAAAACACAAGTCACGGGTGTTAATTTTGCATGAATTTTACATAAAAACTGCAAAAGGGACATGCAATAAAAGTAATAGATCCTCTCTTATAAAATTTGCAAGAATGCCATCTGATTTTCAGGTGGAATTTATACAACACAATCTTACCTCCGTATACACACAGCATTTCACACACACACAAATTATATGCTGCGTTGATTCCGAGGAACGGCGCACAATCTTTGCGCGCTACGGAGTTCGCGTTCCTTATATTCAACGTTCAAGTGATAAATACATGTGATCGTTTATTTTCGTCATCATTTATAAAATAACAGTGTTTTTGTATAACTTTAAGAATTAGTGTTGCAATAAGAAGATAATATTGGTTTAATAGTAAGTAATACTTTAAACTTATTCTATTGTTATGTATGCTTAAACAACGTGACATGTGAAAATTTATAGGTTATGTTAATCACAACTGCCACAGTGTTTACAAAATATTTTTAAAAGAAAATTGTTTGAATTTTTTGTTTCATGAAATTATGATTTATAATAATTTATTGCAGTTTATTGTTAGAAAAATGAACGAAATAAATAAAGTGCGTGAAGATCATTCGTCAAAGGCAGGACAAGGTTTACATTATTTAATTTTTAATTAATTACGTTTAAAATTATTAATTTATGTGTTATGTTATGTGTTTGCCTTATTTTTATATAGACTAAAGCATAATTATTTAATTTTTTAGAATCATCTAATGATACATTGTCGACAATTTTATTGAATAATAGCGCTTTGGATTGTGATGGTGCACTTGTTGGTGACTATTTTGTAGACCAAGACAATTCACTATCTTCATTCAGTGATATTTGTAACGAAATTTCTGATCCTGATATAAATTCGCAAAGACATCCTTTGAAGACTAATTTTCCTGCTAATGGAACCAAAGGACAGAACACTTCAAATTGCGAGATTGAAGGTAAACTATTTAAGTTTATTGTCAAACGTTTCACATTGTAAATGAAACTTTAGTTACTAAAAAAAAAATATTTTAAGAAAAGCTTATGATTGGTTTAAAATATCAAAACGTATTTTATTTATTCTACAAAAAATCTTCTAAAATGAATTTAACTTTTCAGTTAATTTTTATTTTTCGAAATTTAGCTTAATTACTAATTTGACAATTTTAGTTTTAAAAAAATTTCATTTTGGTAAATTCGTAAAAATTAAATTTTAATTCAATTATCAAAATAAAAGTTTACTTTATTTGATCTTTCATAACTTATTTTCTGTAGATCGAAATACCAATAAGTTATCGAATTACGTTTATCAAGTTTTAAGTAGTACTTACGAAGGAGAATTCCTTCTAGCAGCTTATGAATTCGAAGAAAATAAAGAAAATCGCGACAAATTACTAGCAACTAAGAAAACTACGTATTTTTCGAAGTGGAAAGTAGCTAAGCTTGTTGTGAACAACGAATTTCGTCGTACGAATAGCTTCACGTAATATTACAATACATTATCTATTCGAATTTTAAATTATAATTAGTATATTATATATATGGGGGATTGCACGTCAGATTTCGGTTCAAAATTTGAATTCGGGCAAATATATTTTTTTTCGTTTCTTAGGGGAAAAAAAGGTATACGTATTTGTGGCCAAATTTTCGAGTTATGAATTTTTGAAATTTTGATTTTTTGAAAGTAGACCAATTTTCAATGTTATGTAACTCAAAAATTATTGATATTAGAAAAATTTCGCTTAAGAAAAATTATTTGTTTCTTCTTCGACATTTGAATAAAAGTAACGAATAAAATAATTTTATTTTATTTTTTTATGAGAAAAATAAACAGCTTAAGTGGTTAAAAAAACTTCCTATTTAAAAAAAAATAGAAAGGCCAACTTTTTTTTATAAATAAATTATTTAAACAAGAATTTTGATCAGGTCCATTTCCAAACTATATGCAAACTTTTCTTATCATTCCCAGCTAGAAAATAAAGCAAAAAAAAATTTTTAAATGCCCAAATTAAAAAAAAGTAATTGGTTTATAAAAATTATGTTTTTTTTAATAAAAATTAAAATTATTAATTAATTAAAATTATTTTTTTCGTTAATTTTATTCAAAAGTCGAAGAAAAAACAAACATTTTTTCTTTAAGCGAAATTTTTCTAATGTCAATAATTTTCGAGTTACATAACATTGAAAATAGGACTATTTTCAAAAAGTCAATGTTTTAAAAATTCATGACTTGAAAATTTGGCCACTAAAAAAAATAAAAAAAATACATATACCTTTCTTTTCTATAATGACCAAAAAAAAATATATTTGCCAGAATTTAAATTTTAAAGCGAAATCTGACGTGGAATCCCCCATATATGTTTATTTATTCCGTTAATATCAGTGTTTGCATTTTACAGAATCACACCTGACCGATTTGATGAATTAGCTCTAGAAGCTTCGAAACTTTTCCCTGCGTATTTCAAAGAGTCATTTTATACGCGTTCAACAAAAGATAAAAATGCTGGAAGAGTATTCCAAAGTCATTATGTGAATCAGCGAGAAAAAGAATGTGCAATTGGGCGCTTGATTAGCCAACGAAAACGAAAAAATCCTGAAGAGCTAGATGGTAATTTTTGTAATTATTAATCTTAATCTAATTATATGGCTTTGAAGTTTTAAACAATCAATTATGATAAAGAAGAGATAATAAAGATCTCATTGTGACTTTGTTTAAAAAATTGTCAAAATATTATAATGCAGTCAATTATTTATATTTTATAGAGTTTTTAGATCAAAACGTTATTGAATATTCTGTTTCCAACTGAAAATACCTGCTTTATTTCAGAATTAGCTTTAAGCGAAGAACTTCAAGAATTGCAAATCTCTGTGCAGATAATTGACGATTGTTACATGCAAAAGTGGGTGTCAACTGCTCTACAAGAACGACTTTCATTTTACAGTTCAAACGATCTTCCGCACATTTTAGAGAATTTTCCTAACCTTGCTAGTCCTACTGGTTATAATTTGGTATGCATTTCTACTGTAGTTACAAATCCTTTTTTTAAAAATAATAATATACCTTCTAAAAACTTTATCTATTTATACATATCAATATCTATAGGTTCAAATAGATTTTGAACATTTTTTTCGAAAGGACTCGAACATATTTGAAAAAAACTGGTCGAATGTTGCAACGAAAGTTATCAGTTTTGCCAAAAAGAGAAAAGCGACTGATGAGAACATAAAAGAGCTGTTAAACAGAAATACCAGTTTTAAAAATGAAGGTTAGTGCTCTTACAGTAGTAAAAAGTATGATACATAAATTAAATTCAATTTTAAAAAATATAACTTTTAATAATAAATTTGTTATTAAATCAATTTTTATTTAAATTAAAATATGTAAAATTTTTTACAAATTAATATTTTTTTATTAAACAAATTCGTATTTATTTATTTAATTAATAAAAAATTAAAATTTGTTAATAGTTAAAAACATTGTGATTTAAATTTAAAAATTTATTTTCAAAAATTAACTTGCATATTTAATCAGGGTTGTCACGTGTCAGGAATGTCATGAAAAAAATATTTTGTCAGGGAAATTTTAAAAATTAAATAAACTCAAAAATATAAAAAGTAAATAAAATAAAAAGAAGGTAACAATATTTTATACAGTAGAATATCAATTAAATGAATTTAAAAATGTTGGTTGAACTATATACCATTAAAAAAAATTTTTAATTCGTTCTATGTAAAGATTTTTCTATCAGGGAAATTTTTTAATGTCCAGAAATTAGAAAATGAGTTTTTATGTCAATTCTGATACATCAGAATTTTATAGTATGAAAAAATTTAATTATTCTCCATATCAGTCGATTTTAATTTTAATTTATCAAAACACTTACTGCTTTAATTTTTAATTTAATCTCTAATTTTCATCGAATTTATTCAATTTAGATTTCAACCTTTGTAAATTTGAATTCATTTTAATTTTAAGTGATCTAAATTAAAATTAAATCTAATTTTTATTGCTCTAAAATTTTTTGGCAGAAATATAAAGCGATTATTTTAATTCGACCAATTTTAATTGACGCGTAACTTTATTTATCTAAACTTTGGTTTAATTTCATTTTTCACATATCCAAATTTGTTCAAATTTTTAAAGGATCTAAATTCTCGATTTCTTTCTAAACAAAAAGTACAAGTTTCTAAAATTCTCTGAGTCAACAACTTAAATTGTATTTAAAATAATTGAAATTTGGCAAAGTTGCAATTAAAATTTTTTGAAATAATTAAATTTTAAAAGGTTTTAAACTAAAAAATTTTTCAATTTTAAATTCTTGTAGATTCTTTACAAAGTTTTTTAAATTATTAAATTTCAAAGAATTTTTAATTGACAATTTGTTATAATAATTGAATTTTTTAAAAGCTCACTGAAGTTCTCAATCTTTATTCATCAAAAAAACTTTTTAATGTTTTGTTCATACCTTTAATTTATCCCTCTCCCACCCCTCGTAATTTTAAATCAGAATAAAATAAAAAGATTCAATTAAATGAAATCAAAAGTAAAAAAAATTAATATCTGAAAAAAATTCAAAAAATTTTTATAAAATAGAATATTAATCAAATGAATTTAGAAATGTTTTTAAACTTTATAGC